AAGTTCATCAACTAATATATATTCAGATGATGAAATTATTGATTTGGCAGTTCGTGCTGATCAATCTCTTAGTATATCACATGGTCGTGTTCAAAAACATAAAAATACACCAGTTATTAGTCAGCAAAATTCTAATCCATGGTTTAAAAAACGTCGAGCCATTGAACCACCAGTTACTATTACGAATATGTTAGAACAGGTTAAAGCTACAGTTTATCTAAGCATGTGCCAGTATTGGGACGTTCTAAAGGAAATTACTTTACTTTCGGCATTGTTGGACCCCCGATACAAAAAACTTAAGTTTGTTACAGAGACTCAACGTAATATGGCAGTTGATAAGCTAAATGAGCTATATCGAATTGAACAAGCTATTATTATAGAAGAATCGAATAATAACTTATATAATAATTTATCTAAGTTATCACTTACGAATGAACCACCAAATGTTAATTAAGTTAACTATTCTTTACTCGGACTATCTGATGATTCAGATGAAGAAGAAAGTAATATGTCAAATAAAGTTATTCATTACTTAGCTCTGCCAAAAGAAGCTCATGAACGTAATATACTAGAATGGTAGAAGGAACGAGTTAATATCTTACTGGTTTTGTCTAGATTAGCAATGAAATACTTATCAATACCTGCCACTTCTGTACCAAGTGAAAGATTATTTTCTGATGCTGGTCTTCATTTATCTGCCCGTCGTTCTTGTATAAAGCCGGAGTTGTTGGCATCTATGCTGTTTTTGAAAAGAAACATAAAATTATTTGATGTTTTTAAATTAGAAGATAATGAGATTAGAAAGGATTAGAAATTTGATCTAAAGTTTTTTTTTAGTAAAAAATTTATTTCATATTGGATCTTTAATTTTACTAAATAAAAGATCTTAAATTTTTTTTTGTCTCTCATTTATGAGTATGTTATCATGAAGAACATAAATGGGTATTGATTGCCCTTCTGCCATCAAGCAACCTACGCAGTCTTTCTGAGCATCGTCTCTTTTCTTCCCTTTTTCTTGACTATGATGTCATTTCGACAAACTTTCTACCTACGTATGTGACTGTCATCCCAACAGGCCACAATTTATAGCTGCTGTCTCAGTGGGCCAGTCGAAAACAAATGTTATACCATCTTGGGGCGGGGAGAGGGATCGATGTAACCAGAATGAAAGTTGGGTTTGCTGAGAAAACAAATTAGCTCACATTGATTTTCTCATACTTACTAAAATACTATGATCTGATTACCTTATATTTACTCAATTGTCTCGCACTTACTCAATTACCTCATGTTTAATTATTACATACTTACTGATGATACTAAATCACTTTAATCATATTTACATCACTGATCGCATTACTAATTACTATATGATTACAAACAAATGAACGATCGATCAAACATGTGACTGTAACCAGTAGGGTTTCACAATTCGATTTGATTTGATTTGATTTGATCAAATATTTGATCTCAAATCAAATTCAAATACAGAAATTTCAAATC